TCATCAATTGTTACTTGATGACAACAGAAGTGGACATGTTTTTCTAGTGTGTCATGGGTTTCTACAATGGCCACATCTTCTGTCTTGTCTAGATCTTTCTCGAATATCCATATCGCAATGAATTCGATTGGATTTTGGACGACCACGCTCCCTCAATAAACTCGGATTTGGTATAATCGGAAGCCAATCTTGAACCTCATCAGGGTCTTTGTCATTACCTATGGGGGGAAACTCAAATTTGTATACCTTAAAAACTTCAGATAGTAGGTATACGGGATCCACAAAATGGTTATAGTCTTGTCGTGTATGCGAGCAAGCTGCTATCACATGAGAGCATGGATACTTCAGAGCTTGAAAAAACCCGCAGTCGCACGCTCTGTCCCTTAGATTTACTTTAACGACACACTTCAATCCCTTGAAGAGGTCGGGTCAACTCTGTGACACGAAACATTTAATGCCTTCTAAAGAAGCTTGTTACAAACATTCTATTTGATGCATCAATTTTTTTCTGGAGATCTGCAACTAATCTAGGGTGATAGACATGACCGCCTTGCATCCAGGTTTGAGCTTGTCCCCCGAGCTTCGCAAAAAGCGCCCCCAAACGAAAATTTGTAGTTTTTACCAAAGCCGCTACAGGTAGTAACGTGCACCATTTAAGGTTGAATTGATTGCCTCAGCCAAGTTGGTCGTCATGTGTCCATATCGATATCCACCATCATATGCGTTCATCCACATTTCTTTATTGATGAGGCTGATGTAATCGTATCATTCCTCGTTCTTCGCCCGCAAATCTTGAAGCATTGATTCAAACGTTCGAGGAAGTAGTTCGTAACCTGATCAAAAAATGTATAACTTACTAACTTGCTTTCTTTGCAAAATTAAAATGATCAAAAAATGTGTAACTTACTAACTTGCTTTCACTTACCCATGCGCACAATTAATTGACGCTCATCATTCTTCTTGTACCTTCCATGATAGTTCGCAGCAATGTGTCGGAGACAATACCTATGTTGGACAAAGGGTGGTTGTCACATTGGACCCAAAGACTCCATTGCTGCTTTGATCTTAGCTCCGCGATCTGAAATGACACAAATTTTTTCCCTCGTGATAACATGTGCACGTAAATTTCGGAGAAAAAAAGCCAAGAATCTGTATATTCTCCTTCGACAAGAGCAAAAGCAATTGGAAGAATGTTGCGATTGTCATCTTGGACAACTGCCAATAATAAAACTTGCTTGTATTTTCCATACAAGAAAGTCCCCGTCAATCTGGACCCAGGCTTGCAATATTTGGCAGCATTAACGCACTGTGGGTAACTCCAAAAAACCCGGTAGAATTGGTATCGATCGTGAAGAACTAGATCATTATGGTATGCATAGGAGGTTTCGAAGTCCACAATTATCCCAGGATTCAACGTCCGCACCAGCCTAAACCAACTTGGAAGTTCGTTGTAAGATGCATCCCATTCGTCATGAAGTTTGACAATGGCATTTTGTTTTGCCAACCAAGCTTTTTTATAGGAGACGGTGTACCCATACTGCGATTGTATAACTGAAATTAACACTGCAACAACTATATGAGAGCTTGCTTTTACCATGGGCATGATGGCCTGGCATATCACTTCAGAGTCCAAGTTCGGATGATCTTGGTTGACCCCTCCAGTACAACATGTGTGAGGACCGTTGTATACTGTTAGTTCCCATATGTTGTTTTTCCTCTTCATTTTCGATACGCGAACCATCCAATTGCATCCGTTTTCGCGTCGGGCACAGTAGCATACATATTTTTCGGTCGTCGATCGGTTGACTATGGACTGAACAGAATTACATATATTGTAATTTTTGATAGCCATCATCGCTTCTTCTTTGCTTGAAAACTCCATGCCTAAAGATAACTCACCATTATTTATTGATGAGTAATATTCATAGTCACCGAGATGAGGCATATCCACAAATTCTGGCCCGTACATTGCACCATAATCAGCTTCATACATGTGTGCATGAGGGTCAGTTTGTGCCACATTTCCTGGAACTTCATCATCATCGGAGTTGAATTGCGGTGATTCTGGGTGAATGAATAGTCCAGTCTCAGCACCATCCGCACCAGGCTCACGAAGCGGTTCTTCTGGTGGAGATGATGGTTCCTCCATGACCTCCACATTTAGGTTGAAGAACCTACTACTTGCACGCCTTCCCCTTGAACTGGAATGCATATCGACATTGAGATCGAAAAAAGCTCGCAGTCGAATGCCTCCCCTTGGAGCTTGAAGTCATCGTGTCAAATGGAAACTGCACAGATGATTGTGTCGATGGCATCTCCATATGGTCAAAGAAATTTGCAGATGAATACCTTCCCCTTGAACTGGACGCGGTGTTGCCATACGGATTGTTCATGGACCCACCTCGGTACATATCGTAAGGAGTTGCGGATGAATGTCTCCCCATTATGGCATTAAAATCATTACACATTATTGTAGTCGGGCTGTCAACTATATCAACTTGTTCAGCCAGCCCATAGTGTGAGCTTAAAGATTGATCCCGAACAGCACGCACTTGAACAAAATATGCATACATCTCAATAGCGACGTCTAAATAATTACTTTGAGCTTCAACCATCATTTGAACATCATCATTGTTCGAAAGTTCGAACGCTGTATAAGTTAATGGCAACAATGATGTTGGAAATCTGTACTGCAACGACGACATTCTTCTGTTACTTCCAACATGAATCTTCCTCAAAATCTTTGTTATTAGCTCCTCAAGAGTTATGTTTCTCTTGAATGATATTTTAACACGCTCATTTGATACAAAAACAACGCAGGTTTCATCTTCTCGAATTTCATCATCATAATAAACAATAGCTGAAAGTCGCGCCATTCTTTGAGTTTAAAAGTGCGGCAATATTATATCTGCAAAAAAAATAACTTAAACAAACCTGATTAAATAAATTATATATGAACGAAAATATAACACAATAAATTTTTTACACATCAACATAACTAATTTAAATAATATAATTTTATATTATTACCTGCACCGCAAAACTATTTCGACGTATGCTCCCGCTTTTCAATTTTACAAACATAAAAATTAATTGAAAATAATTAGTATAATATTTTTTTCAAATAATGATAATAAACAATAAGTATAATTAAAAAATTATAACAAAATTACCTTATAACGAAAAATCGCACGAACTTCTAAATTAAATTTGAGAAGATTACGAGAATTATTACTCGTTGAAGGAATTGTTGCATTAATTTATAAGAAATGAGAGATGCGAGGAGATATGAGCCGGAGGAGTGTATTTATAAGCATATAAGGCGCGATACCTGCACCGCGCTATATGTAATTATTCAGATAAAAGATATAGCGCGGATCAGGGACCGCGTTAAATATAATTTTGGTACGGCGTATAGCGCGGCCCCTGATCCGCGCTATACCTCTACGTGGCGTATAGCGCGGATCAAGAGGCGCGCTATACCAACGTGGCGCCACATCACCGTATATCGCGGGGCAGGAGAGCGCTATACCCACGTGACGCCAAATCAACATATATCGTGGTGCAGAGGGTGCACTTTCCTGCTAAGGGTGTTAGATCGAGAAATATAGTCTGACCGGTGTTAAATCGATAATAATACTGATCACCGATGATATACCGGGAAAATAGCCGTTAAGTTGGAGAAAGATGGCAAATAAAAGGTATTTTTTTTTAGATATTGCTATCAGCCCTTCTTTAATTATTTAATCTTTTCGTTATGTTCATCGTTAATAAACAAACGGATCAATTAAATGATAACAGGTGAGACTGTTTAACTAATTACATAATAAAATAAAATTTTATATATTTGATCAAAATTTATATTTAATTTTGATATTTATCCTAAGTAATAGTATTCCCCCCCCCCCCCTTGCTACTGAAAATCCCAGTTTACATATTAAGATTTTGTTGAGGCTCAGTAGCTTCCCATGTGACCATACTAAATGTTATCTTTTTTTGGCTTAAAAATAAAGCTATAAAGATCATGGGATTATATTTTCAACATCACTTGGATCTTAGCACTTTTGTCAAGCAAGGTATAGAATCTTTCATTTAAAAAATCAATGATGATGATGATATTATTTTAACATTTTGTCATTTAATAATATATCATCACAACACTTTTAGGTAGCATAATTCTTTCATTGCATATGATTTAGGCAGCATAATTATATCATTATTTGTCTAATCCCAATTTCAAACGAAAAAAATAAATAAAATCCAAGATGGGGAAGTGGGAATTGTAAAGTAGACTTAATATTATCCTTGTGCACCAGATCTATTTTAAATTATATTTTTCCTGAACGAAACTTTTATTCTGGAAATATATTTACTCTTCGAAAGAATACTTCAGAAAATACAGGCGGAAAGTATAACAATATTATAAAAAATAAAATTAATATATTTTAAAATGTTAATAAAAAATATTAAAATTATATATATATATATTTTAAAAGTAGCGTATATAAATCCTGCTTTAATCAGTCTGATATGAAAAGACCCATAAAGGGTTTGAAGTTTGACTATAAATATGGAAATTTGACCAAATAATAGCCGAAAGCATGTGGGGAATGGATTTGAATCATTTCACCATTAGTAAGTTGTCCCAAATTCTATGTTATGAATAATGATAATGAAGACCAGTAGGCCTTACTTTATGTAGGACTTTATTATATATGTAACATTAATTTTTGGATGCATTGAGCCAGCCAGAATCATCACATGATGATTTCTGTCCTCTTCATTCAAAATTTACAGAATTCATGCCACTATAACCGAGGAAAACCATCATCACTCCAACACAATGATCAGATTGTAGTATAAGTTGAATAAATCCGAATTCATATTAAAATAAACTTGAACAAAATTCACATAATATCTACACACGATGACGTTCGAATCAGAACTCCTTTGGATTGTTAGGAACACTTTGAAGCAATGATTTATACACATTTCCATCATATGTATACGTCTTTTTAAAAAGAAATTAGTTGAATTTTAACTTTCATTGGTTGTAAATGTCACCTGCATTTCGTTTTGGTGTTCATATTTATAAATTTATTAAATAGAGTTCTTTCAAATATAAACTCTAATGAAGAATCTTGTGGTGTCACTTGCAAAACGTTGCAAGGGAATGAAATCATGATAGACGCCTCAAGCATTCCATTAAAGCATTTGTGTGCCCAGGCTTCCCAGCAGTGACACGGATGTAGCCCTTCAGCTCTTTGTTGTTATAGTGACGGACCATCACACCCATTTTTGACAGGTCATCCTGCAGATGCATTTTCATGGATCACTCATAAAATTGTGGTAGAAAAGAAACTTATTCCCAGCTATTCTGAATTATGAAGTTGGGAATTATTTTGAAAACTATTGGATAAAAAGAGATGAGACAATCATATGCATAAACACCTTGCAAGGAACAAAATAACACGAGAGTGAAGTATTGGAGCTTGTGTACCTTCAATTTCTTAGCATCCATTCCAGATGTCACCTCACATAGAATGAAATTAGAATAGCTAGGATACGGATTCAGAAACGGAACTTCTTGAAGGAGTCTGAAAAGCCGATCTCGTTCTTGTACCAAAGCTTCTTTCACCATCTTGTAAAAGATTTGCAGAGCAGTATTAGGAATGAGTTTCAAGCATAAGGGTATCATCAAGATGTCAAAATAATCCCATTTTTAGAGATCTCTGGAATTGGAACAATTTCTAAAGAAGCCTAAACTAAATACCAAGTCATATTAAGAAATTAAAAGGGAAAAAGAAACTGTAGGAACCTCTAGATACTTCGGGTTCTGCAATGCAGCACATGCAGCAACAGAAACATTGTATGGTTGCTTTGCTCTCCAAAAATACTCAATTATGCTCAAAGGAAATGACCCATATCCGACACGGATCCCAGCCAGACCTGCAATAATTACTCATTTTCAGTATCAAGTTTTAATTTTTCATTTCCTAGATGGGTGGGTGTACACATTCACACACAGGGAAATAAGTAAATAAAAAAAATGAATGATTAAAACTAATTTGTGGAGAGAATGATCCGTTGAAAAATATGTAATTGGCAAAATATTCCCTGATGAACCAAGAAATACGATCCAGTCAAGCTGTGATTTCCAGAAACTAAAAGCAAGATTTGTTTCTAAATTTTTCCTATATTGAGCTCAAAACATAGTACTAATTCTCTGATCAATGCAACAGAGCATATGATGTTGGAAGTTCTGATTACCAGGTTGCATAGCACATGAAAGGAAAAAGGTAAGGATTGACAGTAACGACAAAAGGAGAAGGCAGAAATTGAAGCCCTCAGCTTCCAAGAATTGAAACAACACCAAAGAGATTGAAGAAAAACATTAAGTTCATGCAAAATTTGACTTCTTGAATTGGAGAAAAGAATCAAAAGCATACCCGCTCTTTTGCTAAATGTTCGAAGAACAATCAAGTTATCATGGTTCTTCACCAATTGCATTCTAGATTCGATTCCTGAAAACTCAATGTAAGCTTCATCCAGCACCACCAATATTGGCATGTCAAGGATCTTCAAGAAAACTCCATCACTAATTATACTGCCAAATTCCAATTAACAAAGAAATGGAGGTATCAAAACAAAATGTACATAGAACAGATCAGAGCAACATACAGTTACAGTTTCAACATTTCACATTCAAAATAAAGTCCACAAGTTCATTAAATCCCCATAGGCCATAATGATCGGAAGCACCACCTAAAGGAGATTCAGAAAAAGCAACTAAATTATTGCAGCAAGACACCAGGAAAAGAAATGACAGTCATGTCTAACAAATCCAAAGGAATGAGAAAGCATGTTCCATCAAACAATTTTCCATCACTCTTGATAAGAAAGAAATGGGGTTTAGGATTGATATCCCCTTTGTGCCTATTGGAATATATTTCATATTTAGCAGAAAAAAGGAACATATTTCATCTAGAAAGAAATGCCAATCGGACAGCATTCTTATACAACATAACACAATGATCATGTCCCTCAGATTTAAAAAAGGAAAGCCATTGGAAACATTTACCTTCCATCTGGATTATTTGGAGAAGTTAAAAATAGGCATTTTGGTTTTTCCCGTTCAACAGCCTCGGCAATGGCTTCTACATTCAAGCCGAAGTCCGGCTTCCTAGGAACTTCACAGAAAATTAATATGTTTATAGATATTACAGCAGATTGAAAATATAAACAGCTGATAACATTAATGTATAAATGTTAAATACTCATGGATTAACTAGGGATTACCAAGAGAACAATCCACGCCAAAGAAGAAAACAAAGATAATTACAAAGTGAAGATGCATATAAAAGTGAAACTAGTAGAAAATAGATTTCTACCTTTGATAACTTGTGCTGCGTTCACACCAGCATCAAATTCATACATGGTGAAGGTTGGAGGGCAATCCAAGATCTTGTCCCCTGGATCAAGCACACATCTGCAACAAAATATTAATCGAAAATACAAAAACAACTAATTAGAAATGCTTAATGCTTGAGGCCGTATCGAGAGTAGAAATTAAAAAGCTAGCCACGCCAATTAAGTTTCCTGGTACTAACCGCATGATCAGATCAATAAGTTCATCGCAGCCACAACCGACAAGAATATAATCAGATTCAATCCCCGAATCTTCAGCAAGGGCAGCACGCAATTGACGAGATTCAGAGTCAGGATAGATATACGGGAATTTCAGCGACCCCAAAGCTTCAAGAACCTACAAACAAACCGAAATTTGTAATCAGGGTACAATAGATAACTCGATTACAAGAACGATGTCTGCAACTGGTACAAAAAGAAGGACGTAGTAAGTTAAATGACCTCCGGAGGTGGACCATAAGGATTTTCATTTGCATCTAATTTGATGATGTCTTCGGGCTTTCTCCCCAATTTCGCTGACAAAACCTAGAAAACAAAGACAGCCTCATTACGGGAAGAAAAAAAACAACAAATTGATTAACATGAGATGCAACTTTGGAATCACGCCAAGGTATTAAAATCAGTTCAATAATCTAACACTGCAAAGAAACTGTTAATCTGTTTGGGATCAATGTGATACCACCATTAAACAACTTTGGCATTAAGAAAATTTCATCGTACTAGAAGCAACTAAAAAACTTCCAAAATGTGAAAAGGGGTTTCATGGTTTCTACTCCTATCATCAGGGAATCAACAAGATAAGAAGAATACTGAAATTGGTACCATTCCAATTACCTCAAAAGGTAAAATGGGTTGATAAGGAGACAACTTTCTCAAATGGGGTCGAATGAAAGAGTCGCCACTCAACTTCTGATTGACGGGCTCAGCCGAAACCGTAGAAGGAGATGAAGAGATATTAGCCACAATGAACCCCTTATTGACATTGGAAGGCGATGAAGAGATATTAGCCATGATGAATCCCTTTTGATTTCTTTCAAAAGAGCAAATGGGTCTTTGAGGATTTACAGCTTGATGAAAGTTGGATTTGACCAAAGAAAGTGAACCAGAGTTCAACATTTTGCTGACTCCCTGATATCTGCCAAATACTTTCTGAGCTAAGAAAAATGTATAAAACACTTGACACCTACAGCGAAGCCAACAAATTGATAAAAACCAATTGTGTAATCCTGTCGTTATTGAATTAATATATGGGTAAACTATACTTATTAGTTATTATCATTTAACTATTATTTTTTATTTTGATTATCAATCTTTTAATTTTATCAAACAAACTATTTAACTATTTAAATATTATCAATAAATAGTTAACTTTTAACATAGAAACTAATATGATAGCTAAAAACTTAGTATAATTATACATTTATCTTTATTATTTATACATTCTATTAATTTAATCTTAATTTTTAAATTAATTTAATAGATTTAGTAAATTGTCATAATACACGTGTCATCAATTTATATAACAAGTGTGTAAGAGGTTGTATTTGTGCTCCATTGAGCTGACACACATACTTAAAGTACAATTTAATCTTAAATTTTAGATCAATTTACTTTTCTTAATCTCTATAAATTAAAATATTATTATTGATTTAATAATAATTGGTTCAGTTTAAATTAATCTCCCATATAAAAATTATTTTCTGTAAAGAGTCATTTAAAAAAACATCAAATATTATATATATAATGGACATATGGAATAAATTTAAAAGAAATATTTAATCAGCAACCTGTAGTTTAATACTGTTTTTCTTTGTTAAACTCCTACTGCAATTATCGGAAACAAGGGAAACGGTTCCGGCAATTAGAGTTTTCGGAGATTCTACAGTGGATCCAGGGAACAACAACCAGGAAGCTACAGTTCTGAAGAGCAATTTCAAGCCATATGGCAGGGACTACTACGGTGGTCAGCCGACGGGACGTTTTTCTAATGGAAGGATTGCAACAGACTTCATTTCCGAAGCCTAAGGGATCAAGCCAGCCATACCTGCATATTGGGACCTGAAGTACAGCATAAAAGATTTCGCTACCAGAGTTTCCTTTGCTTCGGCCGGGACTGGTTACGACAATGCTACTTCTGATGTAGTGGTACGTCGAGCTACAGCTTGGTGTTACCATGTGAATCGGAATTTCAATAATAAGTATTTACTACTAACTAACCTAGTTTTCGGCTGTTCTGATTTTGCAGTTCATCGTACCATTTTGGATGGAAGTGGATTGCTACAAAGATTATCAGGACAGGCTAAGAGGATATCTAGGCAAAGACGAAACTAATCATCGTTTGGCTGAATCACTGCACCTGATAAGCATAGGAACCAATGACCTTTTAGAGAAATTACATTTTTTCGATTAGATATTTGGAGTATTCAGTTGACAAGTACCAGACCTTTACAAGTAATTCATCAGAGAGCTTTACAGGCACGGAGGTCGGAAGGTATCCATCACTGGCCTTGCTCCAATGGGATGTTTACCATTGGAAAGAACAAGGAATATGTTATCCAGAAGAGAATGCATTGATGAGTACAACAACGTGGCTAAAGATTTCAACAAGAAGTTACACGGTGCTGTCACAGAGCTTAAACAGTAGCTTCATGAGATCGATCTGATCATGTCAGACCCCTATGAAACTCATGGAGATGATTCAGAATCCAAGTCATTTTGGGTAAGATGTTAGAGATAGTTTACATAGTTAACTATTGTTACTTTAAATTAACTGTGAGATACCTGAAAACAAATACAGGATTCGAAGAAGCAAACAGCATGTTGTGGGACTGGATTCTTCGAGATGAGTTACCTGTGTGGTCACAAGAACCCATTTACATGTTCAGATGCCACCAAGTATGTTTGGGATGCCTTTCACCTAACAGAGAAAACATACGGCATTTTGCAGATTGTATGGTCAAGACTACCCTAGCCGAGTTCCGATAATTGCTAAAACAAAACAAAAGAAGTATTACTTCATTGTTGCAGGAGTATTAACTAGGAATGGTATTATTTCAATGGCTTTTAACTTATTATTGCCTTATTCCATGTGGGAAAATATAGCAGACAATATGCCAATTGGAAAAATGCATGTTACATGAAGAAATATAAGAACACGTTTAAACTTTATATCAAGAAAGATTATTTGCATGAAAGCGTCATTCAATGTTTCAACATCTAATACATGGTACTGCTGTAAGAAGAGCAAACAGTTCGATTCGGGAATGTTTCCCAAGAGATTCCCATAGAAGTGGACATTGACTACCGAGAAATAAGATCAATTTTCATTGCAAACTAAGAACCTTTAAAGAAAAAGGTTTACTTGAGAGGGAAAGCCCAAATTTTAATATAAGTTTACTCCGAACTATCAAATATCGGGCATGTACAAGTAGCTAAAGATCTTCAAGGACAAGGTACTGAAGACACTCTGTGGAGCATACTTGATCATTTGACTTATTTTTGACACTTTAGGAAAATGCAGTTTGATAAATGCAGGAAGCTCAGCCAGCTCAACCCGAGACTTGCCCCCAAAAAATACTCAGTTTTTCATCACATTGACAAAATTCTTGTTGTTTGGATCCTAATCAAGAAAAATTGGCACGCTGAGAGATCTTCAGGTAAATTTGTATATACTAGAGCATGAGACTTAACACTTACAAAATCAATAGTACGAATAAAACCACAAACTTTAGGAACTCAGTACAAATTAGCCAGCGGCAATAAACAAAAAAACATTACATAAGAAAGCCTTAATATCAAATAAAATCATTAGAGAACCTCTAGAGGAAGTGGTGGCAACAAGAGAACTGCCCACGATATCCCTCTTATGGCATCGAACTTTCTTATTATAAAATGAATGATCGAAGATGATTAAGATTTCCTGGAACATATATTGCAGACTTGCATAGAGAAGACAACATTGTCTTCATGGACATACATCAAATGGCAGTAAGACGTTATCACTTACAAAAAAAATGACATAAAAAGACACGTTTAATCAAAAACCCTTGCCGATAAAAATGCTCATTTGAAAACACATCTTTATGAAGGAAAACATAAGAGGATGTTTGTCCCGAACTGAACATCAAAACTTTCCAATCCAACTCTAACGAACTAATAAAGAATAGAAAGATGCAACTATCAATGAACCATGAAACTAATTCAATAATCTGCATGCAACGTCAGGGATTGAAAAATAATAGGAAAAAATATGTCTGAATAAGCCTCTCCATAATTTATTTACAAACATTTGATCGAGGGAAAAAATGAAAGAAAGAACCAGTTTTTAAATAGAGGTGCAAATGCAAACGTGAACGGGAGACCTAAGAGTACTGAAGATTATTCTCTTTGATATAAGACCAAACACCCAAACGTGAAATCTAACTGACCCACAAATTCTCTAAACTGGGGAAGGAAGATTTTGGTCAATCAAGCTAGCAAGTCTTGGGATCATCAGTTATTGTTTTCTTCAGTCTCTGTGGAAGCATTTTTCTACCTTCTTCTCTGCTTCACCTCTATAAATCCAGAAACCATTAATCAAACACTTAACAAAGAATCTTTTTTTTCAAAACCCAACAACGTTTAAGAAAAAAAAGGTATTTTCTTTGCTAAATAGAAGCAGAAGCAGAAGCTTCTGGGGAATTTTTTTGAACAATTAGCGCCATTTAGTATTCACAACCTTTTGATTTGGTTGTCGACTTTAATTTGCGAAAATTACAGAGTTGAATTAGAAGATCGCTCAGCTCGTTTACCTGGAGAGAAATGGATGGCGGGAAACTTCAGGGGTAAAATCGTAAATAGAAACAGTTCAGAATACCAAACCTCAAGCTTTGGAGTGGGGGATAGAGAGGGGATGCGAGTAGGGCTCTTTAAGAAGGTTGCTTCGGTTCTTCAAAACGGCTAGCGTAATATTAGTGAAACGACAATGTAAGAACTAATTTGCATAAAACCAAGGATAAACCACTATTTGATGCCCCATTTTTTTCTGTGTTTTTGTTTCGGTCACCTAACTATTAAAAATCTACTCGGCTGAATAAGCTATAGACACTCGGTAGATTTCAGCTCTATTGCTTTCATGTTTGATGGCCGCCGTCTGCGAGGGAAGCAGACTTCAAATGAAGTCTCTCTCTCTCTCTCTCTCTCTCTCTCGCACACACTACATATATAACATATACAGATCGATGTAGTAGGATTAATACAATCGGATTTAAGTAGTAGTACTTGTGGAATCAGGATCTATCAAATATAACCTTAGCAGCATATGTTGCCCAACTCTTCATTTTCTTTAAAATACTTGCATTAAACTCTTATATTCGACGGTTTAGACAAATGTATGAAGATATGATTCTCGAAATAATAAAGCTTCTTATCAGCCTTTCATCCCTAGTTCGAGTAATCGTAGTATAGAACTATGGTGATTTGTTAGTTGCCTGATGATCCTTTTTGCGCATATTCTAAGTAATATAAACATGGATATTTATGGAAAGCCTTCTATTTGTGCCCATTTTTTATTGCTCCATTGATCACCATTGCCAGGGAGGGCCATTGCTAACATCAGAATTCGTCTAGGGTGTTTGATTTAACATTGATTACAGTGGCCAATCACTTATTTATACAATTATTGCATATTTTCTTGACTTTAGTGAAATAATGCATTAAAAATGAATTATAAGCTAACACACGACGTCGTGCATTTATTATCTCATAAGAGCGAGCATTACATTGTATTTGACATAATTCAATGAAGTCCATGAAGCTAATACGCACATAGCAGTTTAAACAAAGACGATAACAACAATGCAAACTAAGTTTTTGCTTATTTAGGCTACAAGTGCCATAATCCATAGAAATTCTAAACAGGGTTCTGTTTACTGAATGCTGATCATTACTGCAGAACAAGGCATTCTTGTGTCCCGGCAACCATAGCTTGGTGGGAGCTTTCGGCAATGGCATTCTCTTTTTCAAGAGATTGAGCTTCGGTATCAAGCTCCTCAACCTCTGCAACATTTTCAATGCCATCTTTGCCACCGGCAATGGGTTCGAAGATAAGTGCATTCACTTCTTGGAACCTCTCATCAGAGAGGGAAACCTCTGCAAGGAGCTTCCAGCATTTTCCTCAGATGCCTCATCATAGTCCTTCCTCCTTTTCAACACCATATGAC